TTATGCAGTATACAGCGTGGTGTGTCTGCCTTTCGGCATTTGTAGGTAGTCGGTAGCAGCGTTGAGTGATACGTTACCTACGCGAAATGAATGCATCCGATACGTGTCACAATCCCTATTCCGGGGAACTCCGGTGAGAGGAAGAGAGAAAGCCGGTTGTATCGCCACGTGGACGGCAGACCACGCACGTACGCGTTCCTATCGTGTACATGGGACCAGCGTGCCTGTGTTTGAACGATCAATGGAGCAGCTCGCGGTACCAATTCCACGGAATTAATCACTGATTTATGTAAAATGTTATTCCGCCGGACGAGACAGATAAATAAACGGTCGTCTACGGAACATACCGATAGACGACGCTTGTTCGTATCGATTTATCGTTTGCGATTGCATTAGATCGTTTCAAACGAGGTGTAACCCTGCATATTCGACAACGTTCGTATGTATTCATGATTTTATAGACACCATTACTACTACGTACGTACTATCTGGTAAGTAGTATTTAAAGAGTAAAGTCAGGATTTTTAATTCGCGATTGTGCTAACCAAATTGGTTGCCGAAGGAGGTCAGTTCCGTGGACAGATCATCCCGTAGAATGTGGAGGTCGCGTTACCGTAAGGAAAACGGCCGATAATGGGATTACACAAAGAGAACGGATTACTGAAATCCCTCGAATGCAAAACCTTACGATAATCTGGTACAATGTTCCCAGTATCTTGGACACGATGACCATACAGATCCCTAGGATAGGATATCGGTTGGGATATCGTCGCTGCCGTTCCCATTACACGAATATGTGCTCGACATAACCGCATCGATCGGGATGCTTCTCTTTTCTCCACCTGTTGTGCACGGTCCATAGGCATGTACGTAGCTGCACCCGTCAAAGAATTATCCTCGCCCGGTGCGCGCGTGTGGACGGTACAGTACGCCGCAGCATCGTCCCGTCTCCGACCGGATTATAATGAAATAAATAGTACGATTAAGGAGGGACGCGTTTAAATGAACCATAGCTATCTCCCGGTACAACGGACGGGTTTCGAGATTCGATCTCTCACGTAGCACCGTGCAAGTAACTGCGCGGCACGGCGGCTGTACGCGAAGTCGTATAAATAGTTGTTCGCTGGCTCCGATACAGCGTTAATGACCGACTCGTTTTCTGTTCCAGACTCCCGTCAACGACTCGCGGGACCAGCCGGACGGAGCGTGGAAAAATTGCGTGAGTACCCTACATGCATACTTATACAGCGAATGCGCCGCAGTTGATATTTAATCGATATGTCGCGACCACTAGATCGTATCGGTGGACTGTTCCATCGTTTTTCGCCGTGTCACCGTGTATTCCGGTTATGCGTTACGCGGTGGAAGCCCGTTCATCGTCGGAGCTGCATCGGTTCGATCACAGTCTGACAAACGGAATCTTTTCCCATGAAGCAGGACGGTTGTAGTCGAGGTTGTCACGGAAAGGCGTTGTAAATGAAGTTATTACGAGTCGACGGAGTCGGTAATGCTTAGATTGCTCGGCCAAGGTTCAAGGCATTCTATTTGCAAGAGAAGTTGGAATCAATTTACTGACTGAGATTATGTCCACTTTTTCTATAGAAAAATACTTTGCTTATTCACTGAGGAAACAGGTGAATGGTTTTATAACTACTAAAATAGGTTCACATATGGTATTGATAAGTACTCACGCTGCTTAAGAAAATTCAGGTACATCTGTCGAACGTAGAATATGGTAGCTACAGCCTATAAGCTAACCTAGTCTGAGAATCAAACGTGCGTAAGGTTTAATACGTTAGCCAGATGTTCACTTCTATAAAACACACTGACGCAAAACGCGTAAAAGACTCAGGTAGGGAAGTGATTAAAGACCTGCGGTTACATATTCCACGTGTCTATACGTTGTCCTCACCCGGAACTCGGGAACTATTACGTGTCTTCTTTTCAAGTTTAAATACACTCCACCAGACAAAGTGAATTTTCAGCATCGATTTTCCCCAAGCTATTCCATACTACGCATTCTTTTTCTTAACAAATGGAAGAAAATATCTTGTATGACAGAGCACAGCATAAAAACTGTAGAATTTTCTCCCTCGTTACAATTTCTTCGATTTTATAAATACGTCTTATATACAAATCCTATGGTAGAACTAGAAGAGTTGTAAACCAATACCGAATGTGTGGAACTAATTCAAGTAATGTTCGCCTGCTAATTGCTTTAGAACGCACGATGAATTATCCGTGTTTCGCTTATTCAGGGACAAGATGCATTCAATTTTCTCATTTTGCGAGCTCCACAATCGGAAACTCCGAAACGAACCGTGAAAAAGTAGTCAATACACGGCTACGGTTCATGGAGATTAACGAAGAATGCGAAACCTCGTCGCGCTCTTCTTCCTCTGTGGCAAACATCGCCCGAAATCGTTTCAGGCAGCTGCTGTTGCGCCGCTGTGGATGTTAGACGGTGACGATTGTCGTAGATTCGTGAAGTGTGAAAGCACGCGTCTCATCGACTGGAAGCCCGTCGAGTTTGCGTGGAATATGTTGATGCACCCAGTGTAAGTAGCGGTATTCAACGTCGACCAACCGAATCGCGTTTCAGGAACACGTACTCGATGTTCGTCGCGTGAAGTTCCTTGCGACTCGCTGATAACTCGTTCCGTGTAACTATGGATAACACTCGAGAACCGATTGCATAAACGTCGGAGAGAGCGGAAAATTATAATATCCTACGATTTCATGGTAACGAGTACGCGCGATTTGTCCTTAAGATAGATCAAGCGTGAAACAGGCCAAGGAATCGTGCATTATTGGTATTTCTGGGTGAGACTTTGGTTCGCGTTCACGTGGATCGTGTTTTACGTACAATTTACGTAACAAACTCGAACATGACGGCATTTGCATTGCACAATTGTCTGCAAGGCATCTCTGAAGGAATTGGCTTTCTAACGCCCCTGCTCGACGCGAGCTTTCGCGCTGTGTTTCAACGTTGGTAATGACAAGTTTGGCGCGGGGACACGTTAACAATTGTTCAAATGTCTCGCATCAAACTGCAGCTAGGACGGTCATTTTCTATAACTCTCCCTTGTTCGATCCATTCAATTTTGTATGAAATCATTCGCGCGTTATAGACACGTACGTTGTATACTATTATTCAACTTGCGCCGTGCCGTTCTCGTGGGATAACAGCGATTTCAGGCTAATCGAAACGATACCGTTCGTTCGAAAACGATGTCAGCAAATTCTGCGACACTCCCTTCCGCGCATAGCGCAGTTCGGATTAAAGCATCATCGGCCCGTGTCAGGATACAACTGTGATCCTGTAAACGACCCTTCGGAGAATAAACTCCCTTTCTGTATTTATGGACTGTTGGGATTAGCGGGAGAGAGAAGGAAACATGCAGTCGGGAGATAGCCTCTCTTTTGTGAAATTCGCTCGCACTCTGAAAAGCTGCGCTCCGAGGAGATGCGGTGACGCGCGCGAGAACGGAGGGCTGGTAGGTGGGGGTGAGTCGTACATTCTCAAGGAAGATCGCGATCTTGGTTGTTTATGCGATACCTCGAGATGCATAGGGGTGCTCCTTTGTCCAGGGGCGGTTTTCACCGTTCGCAAGAGATACGGATGAATAAATTTCGGGGACGCGACATATTTCACGAAACCGGGCGTGTATACACGCTCGGTTACGTGGCCGGCGCGGTTTTCGCGGACGCTTTACAAGCGCGGTCTTCCTCTCCCGGACGCTTTAGGAGACTTACCCTGGATCAGTGTACGGTGATGAGTGACGGAGAAGAAGATGGTCCAGACTTTCGGGTAATAGGATCTGTTTATCGTTTAGCAAGTTGCTCGAAGCACGAATACTGTTAAAATATCGTGTAATTGAAACAATGACATTCAATATACATATGAATAAAGGATGTAATCGTCCGTAACCTTTAATTGTACAACGAACTTAGTGAGATAAAGCAATCAGGTCAAACGAGACGACTCGATATCGACAGCAGTAAGTAGTTCGATATCGAATTGTTCAGAGAGGAACGAGCTACGAGAATAAAATCGCTCGAATTATTTCTGCGTTTTGTCCGTATTGTCACTCGTATCTTCGAAAACAATCTCTTACAAATTGAAATGAGTATTGAATTAAACGTGAAGACATCCATCTTTTACAAAGCAGACAAATCTTTTCATGCTCCTACTCAACTATTCCTCGTAATGAACTGAATTTAACCCGAGATATCTTTATCAAACAAGCACTTGAAGAACTGTTCGATAATTTATTAATGATTGTAATACGTCGAGAGATCATTAAAAAATTTATACGGATTTCCACCCTTTGGTACGATCATCCGAAACACGTGATAATATAAGGACTCCGCATCGTTTCCGTGACGATTAGAATACCCTCCGATCTCAGCATCTAACGGTTCACCTTTCCGCACCGAACTACACCTGAATACAGCCTGGGCGCACGCACAGTCGTGCGCACACAGAGAAACGTCGGCGAGCGAGAGTCAGAACGAGAGAAGATATGTACCAAGAGAGCGCATCTCCTCCGGTCGCCGAGTGCCTCCACCTTGAGAGTTCAGCGGCGAGGGCAAACGCAGTGTGCGAGCGAGTGAGCGAGAATGGTAGAGGGAGAGAGAGCTCTGGAAACGGTGAGAGGACGTATGGAGGGAAACCAGAACTGGAGGGCAGGATGGATGGGCGAGGGAGGAAGATAGAGAAGGAGAGTGGGACGGAGAGAGCGAGAGAACGGGTAAACCTGGGTAAAGGGATGGAAAATACGTTCGGGCGGGTTCCCAAGCGAGAGGGAAGGCACCGGAGGGGCAAGCGGTGGCTAGAAGCGAGCTGGTTGCCGTGGATTGAGGTGATGGGGTGGATGACTAGGCGCGAGAGGGGAATCACTCGACTAACAGAGTTGGTGGGGGTGCGCGACGAGAGGTCGTGGTGGGGGGGCGACGCTCTCTCGTCCCCTGTGCTCGGTTAGTTTCTCCGTCGACGCCGCTGGAAGCGGATCGGAGTGTGTTCGTCGTTCTTCCTCGTGGACGATCACCTCGCGGCGAGCTGTATGATAGTTTTCTCATTTGCTTCGTTCTTCGGGACCCGGTGACTTTTCAACTACGATCGATAGCGTGGTAGTGTGTCTACGAAACGCGTGTTCCCGTTAGTCACCGACGTTATGAAGACTCGTGGAATACGTGATACGCGGTAGTGAGATCGAATCGGAGCAACGGCGGTTTTACAGTGGTTGAGATTGAAATTCCTTCGGGTGCGGACCGAAACGATCTATATCCGCTATTATCCTCTGCGAATCGGGGTGAAACGATTCGATGTACGGTGCGCGGAAGCTGGTTCTCTCGTGGGTATTTGTCGCGTTTCGTTTTTCGTGTGTACTGGGTGAAGAAAAATTGGTGCGTACTTCGGTTGCTCGGTTTTACACAGCCGAGGATATACACCTCGGATTCGAGCGCAGTGTGAACTAGCAAAGTAAAAAGAGATAAACCGACCAGTGAAGAGTTGTATCATTCACCGAAGCGGATACGAGGAACACGTTGTTCCTGGTGGTTGGCTGTGTGCGGGATCGACGAACAGGAAGGGAGGATTTATCTATCGAAGGACCACTTGCTTCTTCAAGCTCTCGAGGTTGGCGAGAGAAGCGAGGACGCCGCTGAGCCGTCGGACGCTTGATCCGATCGGTTCACCGATTCTACGGAAGTACGGTGTGATTCGCTGCGGCCGAAGGATCCCTTCCATCGTGTCCACGTCGTGGTCGATTTTTGTTCACTTCATATAGCCTGGTCCATCTGGATAGCCACGAAACCTGAGTGCTTCTCATGTGTCAGTGACAGTTCTGTGTGTTCCGGTTAAAATCTTTCGTGCGATGTACACAGACCACGCCGTCTTCGTCTTCCATCTTGTAAGTAACATGTAACAAGTTGTATTTGATCGGTGTTTATTCGGTGCGCGATCGATTCCGTAGTTAAATTCGCGGTGGGTGGTTCCCGCGCTTTCCTTGAAACGGTGCCGACGAACGGAACTTGTCGGTCGTGGTCCTCTTTACAAATAAAACGTGCAAAGACCGAGAGGAGAAGGTGAACTCTTGTGGCAGCGTGCACACGGTATCCTCTGTCGTGGAAGCAAAGGTCACGAGAAGCGACGGTACCCGGTGACTTTGACACGTCCCGCGGGAAGACCTCGTATTAGGTCTCGTTTTACGATCCAATGCTCAAAGCTTTGCAACCGCCGTGCTTAAGCTCGTGGTAACTACGAACGTGTTGTACACGTGACTCTGGAATCTATGTGCCCGTTTTGAAGCACCGCTTGACCTCGCAAAGCACACGTTGTACCGCAGCGACGATTGTCGCTCGGGAGCGTCCTCAAAATTCACAAAGACAAACGGTTGCCTTGGTTATCTACCGCGTTTCATTTAAAATGTGTCCGAATTTGGGAAATTGTACAATCTGTTTGTTGAATCAGTCAGTGTTCGTGTATCGAGTGAAAGATCTGTCGATACTTGGCGTATCCGTAGTTCTTAACCGAACGCATAGAGTCGAACCGCGAACCTAGCAGCATCGATTGCTTCGCACATCGATAGATCCTCGATTCCGTGTACAAAACTCGTGAAATTTTGTAGCTCCGACTGAAGACTACGTGCCGCTGACTGCCCCTCGGGGAGAATAAGTTACGGCCGACCGTAAGAAACTTCCGATCGAAGTTGGTGGGAATTTAGGTGACGCTGGTGATCGAAAGCCTCTCGAGAGGAGCGACGCGTGTGATTCATTTATATCAATATTGGAGCACGTAGAGCGATTAGAGACAGTATTCTGTGATGTGTACCCTATTTCTCTTTTGTGGCTCGTCTCTTGTTCTCGTTCCAAACTCTCACGGATATATCGAACACATTGTGTTTAATAAACAGAAACCTCGGCTCGGAATTCCGTCAGATAAGAATGCGCTCGTGGATTCAGGGTAACGGTGAGGATCGTGACGTTCGCTGTGACCGCTCGGCCTTCGGTGACATTTGCCGTCGCGCCGGGGTTCCGTGCTTCGTCTCTCATTGTTTTCTGGAACGGGTGACTTGACCTCAGTCTTTTCATAGACTCCCAGAAAAGCGTGCTTCTCTCACGAGAAGACTGAATTCGTACTGATGCCAACTGTTTTTCTCACCGAAGGTCGCGAACCCTAGCTTTTTTCATGTCTGGCATCGAACGCACTGCTGTGTACAGACTCGCGTAGTGGGAATATTGGAAAATCGCATCGTTTGATGTCTACCGTCTGTCCCATTCTCCGGAATCTGGTACTCCGACGTGTTCTCGATTCTCTCAGGCATACTCGATTTTACCGAAATTCGTTTAATTCCTATGAACGGATAAGTAAATGATTCGTTCAGCGAAGCGCCCGAAATACGTGCTGCGACAGTGTTTCTTGGTAGATTTTCATTTGTCCGGTCAGTTAAGTTGATCATGTTCGTGCTCGTTTACACAAACGTTCGTCGTCACGACGAGCTAATTAAACTTAAAGAGCCGCTGTTTTCGTCGAATGATTCACAGCGTTACGCGCGCCATACCGATCTCGAGACCGCACCACTCTTTCCTCTCCCTTTTCTTCGTCTCCGCCTTAATCTTTCAGATTCCCCGTCGGAATATCGCGTTTTCACGCGTGTTCCGACCGCGAAGACGCACAAACGTGACCGTGCATCTAAAACAGCTACGTGCTCGACCGCGGCTCGACTCCAACCGCCGTGAATTATGTAACGAAAAGTGAAAATTATTTACTTGGTTTCTCGAAGCACGCTCGGGCGTCGATTTTCCGCGCGAATCCACCACATGCACGCGCGCCGCTCACGTGTGCCCCGTTTATTCCCTCGCCGTTTTTATCCCTTTTCTTTTAAAACGACGTCACCGACAGTGGCTTACCGCTTAATTTATACCCCCGATTCATTCCCGATTCCGTTTTTTACACCTCCGCGCAGAATCCTTATGAAACATGCAGAAGACATCCCGATGAAAAAGTTGAGAAACGGGTGCAGGTGGCGAAGATATACGAGGAAACAGGAAATACCTGTACCGTTTCGGGCTTGATCGTATTTCTCGGGAAACGAGTGGCTACCCGCTTCTCCCTCGGTTACCACCATCTCACCATATTTACTTTCGCCCGCGAGTAGAAACGGGGCTGCGTTTTAATATCGTTCGTCCATTGACTAGTAACGTTTTGCAATCCTGGCGTACACACCAGAGGTACCTATCTGCTTCTTTGCTCTCGTTTATGGGAAGAGAAATTTCGTTTAACCGCGGGCTTCAGTTTTAACCGCTATTCGTTAAATAATTATTGATTTTCATTAGCTGAAGTAATACATCATAATCGTCGGCTCTGAATTCCGTTTGAGAAATTTGTTTATCGTAGATCTATATTTATTTCTACTGACGGTAACGTTCTCTTAAAAAAGAATGGAGATTACACCAGATATGTGGACCGGTTGTGAATCGAATACTCGTTCTAGCAAACAATCTATTGGAAACTATTTTGGGTGTTCCCGGGCTTTTCATAGAATCCGAATTATTTACAGTCTCGTATCTCCAATATTGGAGTTTCGTTCTATGTGTGTATGTGCATGAAAAACTATTTCTAGATAGTTATTAAAAGTACTAAGCGTATACGTACATTATTATTATTATTATTTTCTTTATTAAAGCGTTTAAAGCCTCGAGAAGGCTATGTAATTGTTACGAAGCGATTACTGCACATAGTTATAAATTCCCACAGAGTTTAGAATTTCGAAATGATGTCGAAGCGATTTTCGCCGTCAGTGGCATCGCTCGATTATGCTCCGAAACTGACCGTTACGAAATTCCCAGCGAGACTCGGCGATACAATAACACGTTTCTCGCACGTTTCCCTGGCCTCCGTGGAACGTAACGCGTCCACTGGTATTTTTCGCGTTCGGCTCAGCCAGTTTTCTGCCTTTCGCATGTCGGTGTGCGCGGTATCGACGTGACGCGCGATCATAATGTAAAATCGCGGCCTCCGGTAGGTATATACGTATATGTATCGTGTCGAACGCGGCGCGCACGGTGCCGATAAACTTAGTAATGGCAGAAAAATTGCCGCGATTAAGGCTGCAAACACATCCACACCGCCATTTTCTCACAACACCTGCGAATTACGCGTAATTGCCGTTCCGTCGTCCCGCTTCGTCTCGTTTCCATCTCAACGCCGGCGATCCGTTCCTGAGAACCCGAGGGCAGTTCATTGTCTAACGTAGCGCGCGTCGTCGTGTCCGTGTCACAAGAAAGAGAAAGAGCGACCGAGCGAGATGGAGAAAGATTGTACGGGGATAATCGTCATATCGAATCGGAAATTAACGTTAAACCGTGGACCCACGGTTCGTTTCTCGCGCTACGTGGTCGGATCGCGTGGAGTCGCGAAGAAAAACGCGCTCGGTCCTCGGAATCATCCGTGTCGAATCACGGAACTGTTGAATTCCCGCGGGATTACAGGCGACTATTGTCGAGATGCCAGGTCGAGAACCCGTTGGATGTGTTTTACGATTTTACTGGCGAGCGCCGGGACGATCCGCCACGGAAAATCGTCTCAAAACTGTTGCGCAATGGTACACACACCTACCTACCTGCCTACCTACCTACTCCGGAATATACGTGTTATTACCTTGGTCGCGTATCGAAATTACGATCGAACGCGCGCGAGTCCTGCGAACGAAAACGCGAGCCGATCGTAATCGAAATTGTCTGAAACTATGTTTAGAACGGTTCTTAACGATCCTCGTAGGAAGAAACCCGTTCTCCGGGTTCGCGTTCGTTACGTTAACGAGGGTTAGCAAGATCAATATTTAGTTTTAGGGTTCAAGGCAACTAGGTAGCGCGCTTCGGCATTGTTTTCTCTTGGCTTTATCGAAATTTCCGCGGAACGTGGCCCGAACGAAGGGGGCGCCCAAGGATTATTAACGATGCCGCGTTATCGGCTTTTCTGGCGCGAGAAAGCTCTGGTACTCCGCGGCGTGACACGGTGCAACGCGGCGCGTCGGCGTGGCGCGGGTGTTTCGATACGCGACAAGAGCGAGAGACTATCTGGTGAATATGTGTACGTAACGGTGTACGGAGCCGTTGGCGGTTTCGTGATATCGATTGTTTTCACGGCCCCGTGCCGTGCTTTGAAATAGTTGGCGAGCACGAGTACGGAAAATGCGTAACATTATCCTACTCGGGCATGCATGCTTCTAAGTGGTAGGTTCGAGTTGCAATTCGCTCTTCTACCGCTCTTCTCTGGCCTCACCCCATTAGAGATTCGGGGCGCATGTATAAGCTCTCTGTGGACTCGCACAGCGATCGAAACCTTGCCTCTAGTCGAGAAAGTTATCTGAAAATGACTGTTCCAATGATACTACCCATGAAATCTTAAATTTTAACCGTTTTCCTATAAGTTCGCGTGCAACCGGGTTAAAAAGTCAATAAGAATTTTCTACGAACTTTTGTCGCACTCGAAAAATATTTGCGTGCAAACTTTCTTTTACAAGAGGACTTAAGTGATTCGATCAAATTTATTATCACGTGTTGCATCTTAACTAATTTTTCTCATTCATCAAAACACGTCTCTTATTTCCCCTATTTTTACTCTTGATCGACAAATGTCAATCGCCGATGGAATAATAGTTCGGAGCACAATGCGTTTTACGCGCGTGCACGCATACTCCATGCACGGTGACATCCCGAGTGTGCACGCGGGTACGAGCGGCCTCTTATCGGGTGGAAGAACGCACGTAGCTGCGTATGTAGGAGGCGTGTTTGTAAAGTAATGGTGTCCGCGAGCTTTTATGGGCTACCTCGCCCGTGTATGTATACTTACCTTGTGCGAAACCGCTTCGCGGTGCTCCCTGTAAACGCACACGCGCGTCGTATACGC